TCCTCCTCCTCCTCCTCCTCCTCCTCCTTTTCTTTCTCCTCCCCTCCCGAAGCTTTTTGTTTTTGCCGCTATGTTTTCTTAGTGGTAGCGTTGTGATGCTTAGTATTAGTAGTAGTGTTGTGATGGTTCGTGTTCTTATGTATTACATCTTCTTAGTGTTATCACGATGTTATCAGTATCGGTCGCATGTTCATTATTACGAGTATCGCTACGACTAGTACTACTAGCACGATACCCCGTATTAAAAATTACGATGGTCCTTACGACTATGAGTATGATCAACATTATTGTTAATAGTAGTCTTGTTATCATTATTCGTGGTACTCTTATTGTTGTTGTTACTATTGCTACTAATACTGCTACTATTCCAAATCCGCTGGCCCCCTCTGGGGGCGCAAGTCTGCGGAGGTGTGTGCGGTCTGAAGTCATGTGTTATGTATTGTCAGTTTTGATGGCCTTTTGTCTCTCCAGTCCTGTTTCCTGCCTCCTGTTTACTGTCTGCTAGCGGGCCCCGCCGCGCCACCAAACCGCCAACGGGAGGGGGTGAACCTCAAATCCTGGCTGCTCCGGGCCACCCCAGGATTCTCATGGTGACGCCACCGCGCGGCCAGAACGGCCCGAGAGGCCTCCAAATACTGCCCGAAGAGGCTCCGAAGAGAGCCTCAGGAAGCCAAGACGGCCCAAGATGGCCCCAAGATAGCCCACGATAGCCCACGATGGCCCCAAGACGGCCCAAGATGCTCCCAAAACAACCCAAGAGGTATCCAAGAGGCCTTCCAAGAAGGCCCCACGAAGAAAGCATCAACGATTTTTCTTGTGTTTTTTTTGAAAGTTGTTGGCCTTCTCGCCTGTTTGACTTTCCGACGCTCCGAGACGGACCAAGAGCCAAGATGTTCCCAAGATTGCCCCACGACGGCCCTATATGCCCCCATGACAGTCCCAAGCGGCCCCCAAGACGGCCGTAGAGGGCCCCAAGACGATCCAAGAGGCGCCCCAGATAGCTCAAAAAGGGCCCTAGGGAGGTCCCAAGAGAGACCCAAGAGGGAGTCGACGAATCGAAAACTCGACCTTTCCGCCCCGAGAGGGTCCCAGGAGGCCCCAAGAAGGTCCCAATAGGCCCCAAGAGGCCCCCAAGAGGCCCCAAGGAGACCACCAAGAGATCCAACATATCGTTTCCAAGAGGCCTAAGGAGACCCCCAAGAGGCTCCCCAAGAAGACCCCCAAGAGGCCCCAAGAGACCCCAAGGAGACGCCCAAGAGGCCACAAGGAGACCGCCGCGCAGCCGCCCGCACTAGTAATAGCTTGTCCAGCGGCAGCAGGCGAAACCCTTCAGATATTATAATATGCTTATTCGTTTTATTATTCGTTATTTCTTCGTTACGTACTATTATTATTATTATCATCATTGTTAGTATCATTATTACTATTATTACTACTACGATAGTAGTATCTCCATGAATCGTATTCTGAATAACAAAATGAGCACTGCTATTAACATTATTACTATTACTATTACTATTACTACTACGACTACGACTACGACTACGACTACGACTACGACTGCTACTACTACTACTACTACTACTACTACTACTACTACTACTACTACTACTACTACTACTACGACTACGACTACGACTACGACTACGACTACGACTACGACTACGACTACGACTACGACTACGACTACGACTACGACTACGACTACGACTACGACTACTACTACTACTACTACTACTACTACTACTACTACTACTACTACTACTACTACTACGACTACGACTACGACTACGACTACGACTACTTTTATTACTATTTTTATGATGACGAATATCATTACTACTCGTATCGAAATGTTTCTTCGTTGTCTTCTTCGTTGCGCCTCATTATCGTTATGATTCGCGATATTAGTTATTCGCCGTTTCCTTATGATTGTTATTACCGTCATTATTATTCATCAACATTCTTATTGTTCTAAGAAGCGGCATCCGAACCCGACCTCGCCAACGATCCGCTCTCCTGAATCGATGGGAGACGCGGGTGGGGCTCGGATTTCGCCGCGTGCGCGACGAGTTCCGAACCCTACCCCCCCGCCGCCCATCAAGCTGCCGGAACCCGTTGCTCGCGAGGGTGGGGTTCGGCTTTCGCCGCCGATCCTCTTCGTCTTTGGGGGAACCAACAAAGGTACAGTGCGGGCGCGGCCGCAAGAAACCCTCGCAAGAAACCCAACCCCGAGAACCCGCGCGCGAGGTGCACCGGAGGGGAAACCTGGAGCACCCTGAACGCAGCAGCTCTTTCAACGGCCGCGGGAAGTCGCCGCGCAGCGCGAGGAGCAAAGAAACCCAGGATACCCTGACGAAAAGAATACTCCACTGTACCGATACCACTACTCCCACTGTACCGATAGCGCTACTCCCCTGACCTCTCTCGGTGTGCGCTCTGACCCGAGTTCACAAGCGGATCTGGCAGTGGTAACGAGGGCCTCCCAGGAGGTCCTACAAGGGGAAAGCGAGGGAAGGGCAGCGGCATCGGCACCTGCTCCTCCTCTTCGTTTATTTTTGTTGTCTTATGTTTTTATTTTTACTGTTATTATTCCCAACTATTCTTGTTCGTATTATTATTAGTAGTATTAGTATCGTTATCCTCATTCGTATTATTATGATGATTATTATTATCATTATCATGATGATTATGATTGCCATTATTATTGTTATTCTTATAAATAATAATGATTATTCAATTATTTGTTCATTTATCTACTATTCGTATTATTTGTCTTATTAGTATTCTTATTATTATTCTTCTTCTTCTTAGAGGTCCAGCGTCGCGGGAACCTCGGCGCGTATCGCCAACTGCTCCTCAGCCTCCCGCTGGCCCTCGCCGTGGGTCTGCCGGATGACCCGCAGAAGCTCCTGGTGCTCCTCCTCCATCTCGTCGTAGTTGAGCTCCTAGGGGGCCACATGTGAACCGTACCCCTACCCCCCACGATTTCCGAGCTCCTGAACGAAGTGAACCCCACCCTCCCCCTCGGAAATCGTGGGGGCTAGGGGTAGGGTTCACATGTGGCCCCCTGGCTCCTTCGTCTCGGTGTTGACGAGGTTGGCCGGCGGGGGATCCGTCCCCAGGTAGCACACGTGCACCTCTCGGCGGAGAGCCCAGGGGGGGGGAGTGAGAGGGGGCAGGCCTTCTCGGAGAGCGGCGGGGCTTGTCGGAAGCCCTCGCGGTTTCTGCGAGGTCGTTTGCGTCTTCGGGGAAGGCTTGAACAACTTCTCAGAAGGCCCGAGGCCTTCTGAGAAGGCCCGCCCCTGACACTTCCACCATGGACTCGCCGCCGAACCTTCAGGCGGCAGTCCATGCACACGATCATGCCCTGGACGCCGCAGACGGTGTCCACGCTCAGCTGCACGGGCACAATGTCCGACAGCCTCGCGCACCAGATGAGCTGCGTTTCCCTGTAGATCATGAGCTGGCCCGTGTGGGTGGCCAGCAGCAGGTTGTGCGTCGGGGGGGCATCTGGAGACTCGGGCGGCACCCGATAGGTCAGTGCGGCGCTGATGCTGTACTCGCACATCCGCTTCTGCAAATGGATGGACCCGTTCTCGCTGACCTTAAGTCGGGCCTGTCCCCGTACAGGGGGATTTTGGGCGAAAAATTAAAAATTCTCAAAAAGTACTCCCAAAATGCTCAGAATTACCCCAGTGCGACCCTACCTAGAAGTTGGAGCCCCTAGGAAAGCAGCATTAGTTGCTATGCTATGCTATGCTATGCTATGCTATGCTATGCCGGCATAGCATAGCATAGCCATCGAGGCTAGCTCGGCATCTGTCGCACATTGCTTTTCCTTTGCCTTTCCTTTGCTTTGCTTTTGTGTTTGCTTTGCTTTGACTTGCTTGTGCTTTGCTTTGCTGTCGCTGCTGTTGCTTTGCCTTTGCTTAGCTGCTGTGCTATGTTATGCTCTGCTATGCTATGCTATGCTATGCTGCGCTGTGCTATGCAGTGCTGTACTGTGCTGCGCTATGCTATGCTATGTTATGCTATGCTATGCTATGCTATGCTGCGCTATGCTATGCTATGCTGGGCTATGCTATGAGATGCTGTGCTGCGCTATGCTATGCTACGCTATGCTATGCTCTGCTGTGCTCTGCTCTGCTAAAGATCAGCAAAGCTAAGATGAAGGTAAGCTAAGCTAAGATAAACCTGAGCTAAGATGAAGCTAAGCTAAGCTAAGATGAAATAAGCTAAGCTAAGATGAGATAAGCAACGCTAAGCTAAGGGGACGCAACTGGGGGAACCGCGGGGCGGATCCTGGGGGAACCGCCCGGGTCGGTTCCTACTGCCCGGCCCCTTCAAGCCCACAGAGTAAGAACCCTTCTAGGCAGAGCCTAGGTAGGGAAATATACAAAAAATAGTCCCCAGACTATTTTTTGACTATTTTTGAACATCCCTCCTGTAGAGGGATGTCCCCCTACAAGGGGATTTTGGGCGACAATTTAAAAATACGCAAAAAGTACTCCCAACAAAAACTTCAAACATAGTCAAAAAATATCCCCAGGCTATGTTTAGACTATTTTTGAATATCCCTCCTGTAGAGGGACAGGCCCGACTCAACGCTGACCGTGAACAGCGTGAACTCGCCGACCACGAGGATCTCCTCCTGACCTGGAGGCAGCGAGCGGCTGAAGCGCGTCACCTCGAGGTGCGTGGCGTGCTCGCCGATGTTGACCGACCAATCGACCTGAACCTTTTTCCCTGATTGAGCAGGGACCGACCGTCCTGGCATTCCGATAGGCCTGCCGCGAGATGTTCGCAGAACCCAGAAACGTCCTGAGAACAAGAGCAGGTGCTCTTAGAACACAGGCCCGATGTGTCAAAACATCCCTGTCTCTCGTTAAGTGCTTAACGACTCGTGCACTTCGACTCTTAGACTATGAAAAAAACAAAACCTGCAAATTACCATTTTTGGTGTAGAATTTTCCCAGATCATCTGGGATTTTAGCGAAAAATATTGATATATGGTGCTTGTTTATCTAGATTTCTTTGGTTTGTCCTTCGCATTCCTTGAAATGTCTGTGAAAATATCATCGCATTTGCCCCGTCGTAGCCAGTTCAACTGTTATTGTGTCGTTGTTGTCGCCCGTTGACTGCCATTGCATTGTATCACCACTGGGCGTCTTTGGGGCCTCTTGGCGGTGCAGGGGGCCACTTTTGCGTACCTCGGGGAGCCTCTTAGGGCCTCTTGGGGGTCTTTTGGGAGCATCTTGAAAGGCTTCTTGGGGGTCTCTTGGGGGTCTCTGGGGAGCCTCTTAGGGCCTCTTGGGAGCCTCTTAGGGCCTCTTAGGAGCCTCTTAGGGCCTCTTAGGGTCTCTTGGGGGTCTCTTGAAAGGCTTCGTGGGGCCTCTTGAGGGGCCTCTGAGGGCCTCGTGGGGGTCTCTTGGTGGTCTCTAGGGCTCCTCTTGGGCCTCTTGGGAGCCTCTTAGGGCCTCTTGGGTGTCTTTTGGGAGCCTTTTGAAAGGCTTCTTGGGGGTCTCTTGGTGGTCTCTTGGGAGCCTCTTAGGGCCTCTTGGGAGCCTCTTAGGGCCTCTTTGGAGCCTCTTAGGGCCTCTTAGGGTCTCTTGGGGGTCTCTTGAAAGGCTTCGTGGGGCCTCTTGAGGGGCCTCTTAGGGCCTCGTGGGGGTCTCTTGGTGGTCTATTGGGAGCCTCTTGGGCCTCTTGTGAGCCTGTTAGGGCCTCTTGGGGGTCTCTTGGGGGTCTCTTGGGAGCCTCTTGGGCCTCTTGGGAGCCTCTTAGGGCCTCTTGGGAGCCTCTTAAGGGCCTCTTGGCGGTCTCTTGGTGGTCTCTTGTGAGCCTCTTGGGCCTCTTGGGAGCCTCTTAGGGCCTCTTGGGAGCCTCTTAGGGCCTCTTAGGGTCTCTTGGGGGTCTCTTGAAAGGCTTCGTAGGCCCCCTTGGGAGCCTCTTAGGGCCTCTTGGGGGTCTCTTGGGGGGCCCCACAATGACGATGGATATGGTGATGGCGGTCTCTTGGGGGTCTCTTGGGGGTCTCTTGAAAGGCTTCTTAGGGCCTCTTTGGAGCCTCTTTGGGCATCTTGGGAGCCTCTTGGGCCTCTTGGGAGCCTCTTAGGGCCTCTTAGGGTCTCTGGGTGGTCTCTTGAAAGGCTTATTAGGGCCTCTTTGGAGCCTCTCAGGGCCTCTTGGGGGTCTCTTGGGGGGGCCCCACAATGCGGATGTCGATGATAGTTTCGATGGCGATCGATGACCGCTTTGTCTGATCGATGGCCGCCCTTGCTCTTTAATCAGACCAGTGCTGCTTCGACAGGGTCCCAGAGCTCAGCTCTCTTGCTATCAAGCTGAGCGTCGCTCAACAGTTCGTGGGGCGGGCCAGCCTTTCTGAACAGTCGCATGTGCGATTTTCGATCAGATCCCGCTGGTGGCCCATCAATACACCATTGTTTGATTTTGCGCACAACCTGTTCGGACGTCAATCCCAAACCAGATCCTCTGCCTATTGTTATTTCTTTTGTGCAGTAGAGGAATCCAGTGCTACAAGACGATGGTTCCCTTGGGTGGTAAGGGCACCTGACAAACCAACTTCCCATATGCGCTGCGCTCTCCACGCGCTCTGTAATGGCAAATTTCCCCCAATGGAAACCATGAGGCCCAATAGCTGGCATTGGCGGCGGTGCGAAAGCAAGTGGTGGCACTGGGGGCTCGGGGGGCGCGGGGGGCTCAGGAGCCGCTGGGGCGTCGGGAGGGGCTGGGTGCCCTTCGTCCTCCGACTCCTCCAGGGGCGGGGCTTCGGCGCCTCGCCCCCGCCCTCTCCCCCGCCCCCGCCCTCGCCCTCTGCCTCTCCCTCGGGCATTCGCCATCCGCACCCTGATCGCAATGGTATGTGCCCTGCGCTTCTGTTTGGCAATCGCTTGCTTAAAGTCTTTAAATCCACTCGCCTCTCTTGGCGTGAAATGTCTGAAGGGACGATCGGTCCACCCACCCCCCCCCGGGGCTTCCTTCGGGGAGGGGCTCCGCCTGCCCCTATCCCTGGGCCCATACGTATATACACACATACATACATGCATACATACATACATACATACACACATACATACATACATACAGCCAGACAGGCAGGCAAGCAGACAGACAGACAGACAGACAGACAGACAGACAGACAGACAGACAGACATACAATTGCACACATGTAGATGCATACATGCATACATACATACGTGCATACATACATATACGCATGGATACATACATATGTGCGTGCACATGCATACACACATGAGTATACATATATGTGTGTATGCATCCTGGCCTACATATACATATATATGTACGCGCTCACATACCATAAATAGTCATGCACTGCATACCATTACACACCATACCATAAAGTAATATATCATAACGTGGCACGCATGTCTACATACCTGTATACCTTCCTACACCCCTAGCTGCCTACCTGCCTACATATGTACATGGCTATACATGCACATGCATACATACATACATACATATATATATACACATACATACATGCATGCATACATACATACATACAGGCATACATACATACATACATACATACATACATACATGCATGCATGCATGCACACATACATACATACATACATACCGACCTATCTACCTACCTACCTGCATACATATATGCATACATACACGCATGCATGCATGCATACATGCATACATACACATACAAGCAGCACACACGGGCACGTTTATCTATACACACGCACACACATGGATGCATTATGCGGCGAATCACAGGAATCGCCCATGTGGCCGAGTCTTGTTGTAAGAGCTCTGTCAAGCTATCGGACCATGTGTTCCCCCAGCCACTGTTGGAACCTTTCGGGGAACACTGGGGGGAGCATGGCGGGGAATATCAGGACGAGGAGGACGAGGAGGGGGCATCTCCTGCCTGGGAGCTTCCTGGAAGCTTCCTGGGATGCATATTGGGGGCCTCCTTGGGCCATCTCGGGGGCTTCTTTGGCTGTCGTAGGGCATTGCTGGCCCGTCTGACGCCGCCCCCCTCCCCCCCCCCCCCTCCTACCCCACCATTTCTTCCCCCCCGTGGACAGATTCCTCCCTAGCCTCCTCCCGCGCTTACTCACCCCCTCATTTATCCTCCCCTACGACCTTCTCCTCCTCCTCCTCCCCCTCCTCCTCCTCTTCTTCCTTCGAGTTGCTGCTGTAGGGCAGGCTGGCGGGGGTTCGCGAAGCGTGAACGATTCGTCTTGATTTTCAATAATAGTCGAATCACCGCCGAATTCAAATACTGCCTGAGCAGCAGGGTCTGATAAGCCAAACAGGTCACCGTCGTCATCGCAGTTTTCGCCACTATACAGTGCACTCGCACGTTGAACGAAATCATCGGCATCCTCATCCACCAATGCACTGCCAGCTATAAGCGAGATTAGCTGGTCTCTAGAAAACGAGTTGTCACAAACAAGTGCCAGGCTACACGCGATTAAAAAAGCTGTTGCTTTGTCCACATTCGATGCCTTGTGGTGCAGCATGTGTCTAACCAGAGATCTCGGAGGTGCGTTTTGT